GTTTATTTCTGGACTCTCGAGTCTACTCCACTGGTCTGTATGTCTATCCTGATGTCAGTACTACACTGCCATGATGACTGTTGCTCTGCAGTAAGCTTTGAAACAGGGAAGTGTGTCTTTCAACTTTGTTTTCCTTTTCCAAGACTGTTTTGACTATTTGTGGTCCCTTGCATCTCCATCTGGATTTTAGGATCAGCCTGTCAATCTCTGCAAAGAAGCCAGCTGGAACTTTGATGGCGAGTACACGGAATCTGTAGATCAATTTGGGGAGTATTGCTGTCTTAACATTAAGTCTTCCAAGCCATTAACATAGGATGTCTTTCCATTTTTAAGTCTTCTTTAATTATAAGTTTTGCTTTTTTGTGTTAAATTTATACCTAAGTAGATTTAGGTATCAAATTTTACTATTTTACTCTTTTTGATTCTATTGTAAATGGAATTGTTTTCTTAATTTCATTTTGGATTGTTGGCTGCAGGTGTATAAAAATACAGTTGATTTCGTAGACTGATCCTACATCCTGCAACCTTGCTGAACTCATTCATTAGTTCTAATATTCTCTTAGTGGATTCCTTAGGATTTTCTAGATGTCATCTACAAATAGAGATAGTTCTATTTCTTCTTCCTTTCTAAGCTGGATGCCTTTTATTTCATTTTCTTGCCTAACTACCTGGCTGGAACGTCTGGTACAATGGTGAATAGAAGTGCAGCAACAGCCGTCCTTGGGACAAAGCAGGTGGCTCAGCACAGGTGGGGACAAGAGTGGTTAGAGGCGACTGTGCAACTCCACAGGACAAACCCAGCCCTGACAAATAAACTGCACAGCAGAAAAATAAAAAAGGAGATACTACTGAGAGAGATTTGAGAGACACAGAAACCTAATGCAACTTAGTCTCTGAACATACCACTAAAAGAAGCATAAGGCAATCAAAGAAATGTATACACTGCCTGAAAAACTGATATTAAAGAATTACTGTCAATATTTTGGGGATGTATAACAATTTTTAAGAGTCCCTATCTTTTAGAGCTAATCTATTGAGATATTTACAAGGTAAATATTGTGCTGTGTGATGTTGGCTGAACACTCTCGGAGTGGTGGGTGGGGTGAGTGGAACACCCTCACCGTGGGTTGAGCTGAGGGCTGGTGAAGCCAGGTGAGGGGAATGTGGTAGAAGTTCACTGTAGGGCCGGCCCGGTGGTGCACTGCTATAGTGCGCCGCTTGGGAAGTGCGG